GTAGAAAAGGCGTAGAAAGTGTAATAAAAATAGGAAAAATATATAGAAAATTGTGACAGAAACATGATAAGTGAAATGTGATAGATATGAAACACTGATATAGGTGAAACACATCAAGTGATGGGATCAGTCATACAGTTACAGGATCAACAACAAATAGTTAGGAAAAGAAAGAAAGCCCCCCCCTCTAATACTGTAACATTATCTAGCTAGATATCTAATCAGATATGATGTAGACCATCTAGATGCTTATGATAAGATAGACACTATGAAAATCTGTAACAGTTGTAGATGATGTTCCAAAAACTCCCAAGGCCATCAGACACAGTGTGTGAGAGTCAACATAGTATCACCCCAACACCACAGTACTAAGCACAGCAAAAATGATACATATTAACCCTTCTCATAACAATAAAAAATTTATCACAAAATGCATTGTAGTACAAAAGAATGATATATCATGCTGCCACCAGGTACAGTGAATGTGAAGACTGTGAGGGCAAGGACGGAAGGACACAGTACTCACCAGAATTTCCAAGTAGTTCGTCACAGCTTACTTTGCGCACACCACCTCTGCTCCCTTGTCTCTCCACTCACAGACTGCCCGTCCGCGTTTTTCACGCCCACTCTATTGCGAAAACTCGACGGGTCGGGGATCTTCGAGGGGTCGATGCCCTCCTTCTGCATTGCCTCCAGGAAGACGGGGCTGTGCTTGAGCGCGTATGCGATGCGCTCGTTCCAGGATGGCTGCCCCGGTGCATCGAGCTCAAAGTCGGGGGCGCGACCGTACCCGATGATTGCAACATGTATCAGAATGCCTCTAACGTGTATGTCAGCGTATGCAGTATGCAGTGGGAGGGGCATACGCTGTTAATCCGAAGATGGGCTTCGTCCCGCCCACCTCGCGACCTGTCAGGAAACGGTGCAAGCGCTGGGGGCCTAAGGACAAAATAGTGTCGGAGTAGGTATGGTACTCCAATTCGGGCATCTTGCGCTCATTCAGGAAGGGCAGATTGGAGTGTAGCAGGGAGATGAGTGGGTGCGAGAACAGTGAAGCCACCTCTGCTGTATTCAAAATGGGCTGCAGGGTGTCGACGGCTCTGGTCAGACCGGCAGGGCAGATGAGGCAGGGAGACATACTCGGATGGTTACGTCGAGGATGAGGACGACGACTCTGCAATACTTCGAGAGTTAGTCTTAGAGCGCACACAAAGAATGATACCTTACGGAATGATTATCAAGTTGTGACCCGCCAATACGGGTTCGAGAACACAGAGTAGCGGGACCTTGTGCTGGTCCATTGGAAGACCTATCTGCTGAATTCAGTCATATTTCTGCAAGTAACCCCAACACGATACCTCTTCAAATGCTTCTCGACGCTAGAGACCTTTGAGTACATGCATCATGTGACATCAGTAAAATCCTACACGCACAGCAGTCCCCTCCATATTCCGATCCTGTGGCTCCCACTTTCCACCAGGCAACGAAGTATCGCCGGCAAACGTTCTCAAGGTAGGTGCACGCCTTTCAATCGATAGAATAGTTGCGTTAGAGAACAGAAATGAGAAGGCTGTCCACTCACCGACTTAGAAGGACGTACAGATCACCCATCCGTCCCACGAACAGCGCAACGAGCACTGCCGCGCACCGTGACTTTGGTAGTGCCATCTGTTGCTCAGCCTGTTGATACATGAGGAGATTCTGCAAGCACCTTGACAACCCAGACGCCGTGAGCTCTGCAGACACTGTGCGACTGCAACAGGATGAGATCATACGCACGCTTTGGATTCTGGCTTCAGGATGGGGATGGGGGCCTCGTCGAGCGAGAGTTTGGGTCTGTGGAAGCTAAGGAGTGTGCTACGTTTACTTGATCTTGTAGTTGTCATTGGGTGGAAGAGAGGGACAGTCGGAAGAGAGGCGCAATGATGTGGAGAAAAACATCATCCTGCCAAGGTAGACGGGGATATGTTTGGTCAAAGCAGCATGGGTACCTGTGGGTACCTGCTCGGCAAGTGCCAAACCCAGGTGGAATGATCGAAATATTGAACGCCGACCAACAATTCGGGTACAATAGCTGCATCCAGTACAATATAATGACTAGGCGATACCCAAGAACTGGCTAGTCCACATGGCTAACCTATCAATCAGCGTCCAATTCAAATAGTCCCAACCCGACGATGAGCCCTGCAAAGGAGTGAGCACTCTCTACCTTTGTCAACCATTCGATTTTCCTGTCGGAGGGACAGTCCGGTTCAGTTCTGCTCGACTGATTTGATACGAGACCACTCATTAGTAGAGTTTATTACCTTCTAGCTGGAGATCCGGCGCTGTATCTTGACTTGGATAAGCCTAGGCGACTCCTTCTGAAGCTCTGCTGAGCGGTTCGCAGTGGCGAATTGTCCTCATTTCTCCTGACATGCTTGGTACCGACTGGCTTTTGAGAGTGTAGATTGCGCCAGTCGAAGGGCAGCCCTAGCGTTCCCACGTCAGTACCTCTTCCATGAATCTCAATATCATAACTCTCAAGCTGTCACGAGCCTTGTTCCGAGTTGGGTATATTAAGAAATGTGCTATCAAGAAACCCAGTGATCCCCGCCCTCTACTCCCAGAGTCGTGTCTGCACAACATTGGATATTGGGATTGGCCACAGCGAGCATGTCGCACGGAAAGCAGTTCACGCTCTATTCCCATTCCTTTGGGCCCAATGGCTGGTGAGAGCTGCGATCGGCATCATCCGCGCACCCTAACGCGAATCGGACAGGAAGGTCGCCTTCGTGTTGAACGAGCTGGGCCTGCAGTACGAAACGATCTACTTTGATTTTGGTAAGAAAGAGCAGAAGGCGCCTGAGCATATCAAATACAATCCAAACGGCCGCATTCCCACCTTAATCGACCATGGGAACAACGACTTTGTCGTCTGGTGGGTCCGCTCTGCGCTATCCGAGAATAGTGCTGAGATGTGTCTGACCAGGGAATCCAACGCAATCATGATATACCTTGTCGAAAAGTATGACAAGGAACATAAAATTTCTGTCAGTGATCCGAGCGAGAAGATGTATCAGCTGCAGTGGCTCTTCTTCCAGGCGTCTGGTCAAGGGTAAGTCCGTGCTGTCATCTTTATAAGGAGAGAACAGCGAAGGATTTTGCGCGTAGACCATACTTCGGGCAGGCGGGATGGTTCATATTATGGCACCACGAAAAACTCCCGAGCGCAATTGAGAGATATCAAAAGGAAGTCATCCGCGTCTTCGGCGTTCTCGAAAGCGTCCTGTCGAAGCAGGACTGGCTCGTCGGTGGAAGATGTACTATTGTGGACCTGTCGTTCATCACGTATGTGGATGGCGTTAGCGCGGTCGGCGACTGACCGGAACGTGTCGTAGATGGAACGAAGCAGCTATAAAGCACATGGTCCCGGATTATAATGGATTCAATTTGGAGAAGGATTTCCCGGCTGTTTACAAGTGAGTTTCATTGATAGCATAATATTGAGACGGTCACTCAACGTCATTGTGGTTAGATGGCATATCGCTTTATTGGCAAGAGAATCTGTCAGCAAGGTTCTCGAGGAGAAGGAATCCCTGCTTGCAAAGAAATGACATACCTCGTAGAATGATGTACTTGAGTCTGTTGGATGAAAACGCATTTCGATTGTCCGATGAGCATCTTCGACACGAAGTTGGAACTGTCACAGTACTGATCGAAAACTGTTGATGGAAGGTTGTGCTTCAAGACCAATTTCAGACGTGCAGCATGTCGATTTGATAAATAGCGATACTGGACAGCATAGAAGTATCGCCGGTGGCACGACGACTCGGTCGGACGGTCAGAGTCAATATGATATTCTGATATCGCCTTATGTTCGCATAACGTGACCGCATCGACGTTGTTGGGTGTTCTCGTTTTCCTGCTCTCCATGCTATGCCAGAGCGAAAATACTATGCAGCTTGCCCTTTAAGCTCTAAACTATATACGGTTATTCTACCGAAGAAGTCCGAGCTTTCCTCAAAGACCAGTCTCATGCTCTCTATGCCATGTCGTACAATGTCCGGGGTCGGCGATAACTCGAACAACTGCCTACGGTTCATGTCTTCCGGGAAGACGTCTGTCCATCTCTGCCACTTGTTCTGGTAGTCTCCTTTACTGCTCTGTACTTCTATCGAGCACCGCGTGCCAACAAAGCCTCCTTGGAAGGTGATTGCGAGTTGCTGAGGAACTACGGGAGAGTCAAATGCGATCTGGATGAACTGCGGCATTCCCTATCGGTTCGTAATCAGTTCGGTTCTTTGGTAGACCGGACAATGCGAGCACGGTGTTACTTGTTGCGATGTCCAACATGTTTCTGCATTGCCGTCGGTGAGACATTTCTTACTCACGGACTTGTCCAAGGTCGAGCTCACTCTGTCCACAAATCAGACTGGGGCATGAGATTGATTATCTTCCCTCACTTTACTTTCGTCTGCGACGATATCAGGGCCACACACTCCATTCCTTCCATCGCGTTTGCAGGCGGAAGAATTGTGCTAGACGAGCGGGACACGCTCGGAATTTCGTGGAATTTCTCCCAAACGATGATCCTGCACGTGACGCATATCCGTTCCCAGCAGGGCTATGGCGTATGGCTCTTGACTCTTTACCAGTGTGCATTCGCATGCGCCGTAGCCAGCCATGACGACGCCCATCTTGTCTACACCAGCGTGGCTCGAATCGTGCTACAATCCTGCCCACCTCGTCAGCGCGAGTCGGACGCTGGCCCAGCGTGAGCGCGTACGCGTTCACGCCCGCAACGCAGCCCGCAATCGGTTGGGGAAGTCTATCACACGAAGGTTGTCCCAAGTACTCCCTCTTGGATCGAAAAAAGCCGACTACACCGATTACTACTCCGTCGCGATCGGGTGCAGTAAAGAACACCAGGAGTGCAACCGCTACTCGGACATCATACCGTACGACCGCACGCGCGTCGTCGTGCCCAGTGGGGATGCAGAGAACACAGAATCGCGCTCGGCGCAGCAGCAGGGGCGGTACCTGAACGCAAATTGGATAAGGGAGCGTGCGTGCGGGAAGTGGTGGATCGCGGCGCAGGCACCGCTCCCGCACACCGCGCACGCGTTCCTCAGCGTGATCCTCCAGCCCGTCGCGTGCCCGCAGCTCTCCATGCAGCCTACACTGAGCCATGCTCCAATGGCGGCGACAAGCCGAGTACGGACGGTGGTGCAGCTAACGCAGAACATCGAGAATGGGATGCGAAAGGCGCACAGTTACTTTCCACCGGAGGACGGCCAGTCGTGGGTCGTCTCGCCCGAAGAGGGATGTACTGCGCCCCCGCTCAAGGTTACGCTCTTGCGGACGCAGTTCTTCGACAAAGCGCAGTGCATGCAGAGCACGGTATCCATTGTCCCCGTGATGCCATCCCCACCTGTGCCAACGGTCTTCCGGCATATGCTGTTTGGCGCTTGGCCAGATCACGGTGTCCCGAGTGCAGAGGACCGCAAAAACTTCCTTCATTTCGTGCACCTGGTGGACGAGATCAACCGGGACCTGGCTAACCTGTCTGTGGAGGCGCGCGCGCTCGACCCCGACCCGCCAATCATAGTGCATTGTTCTGCAGGCATAGGACGCACGGGATCGTTCATTGCGCTCTCGTCTGTCATGCGTGCACAAGGACAGCCTTATGTGGCTGGGG